CTGCTGTCTGATCCAGACAAGGCTTGTCAGTTACAAGTGGATTAACCAAAACCTTGCATCCAGCTTTATCATTGCCTAGTAATAAATGAATACATTCCATGGCAAAGTCGTCACTAATTCGACTGTCCTGAGTCCTGAGATTAAGTCTGACGTTAAATTTACACAATGGAGTAAAACATTGACAAAGACGCAATCTACTCCATTAATAATAATTTTAGAAGAAGACTTTTCAGAAAAAGACAAAACACTTGACAATAAGACTATTAGAATCTCCTGTACCCCTTAAAGTTTCAATAGCGTAGGACTGGCAGAATTATTAATGTATAACATTTCGATAAAAATGGTTTATCATTCTCCAAACATGAAAGTGGGGCTTGTTTGACCTAACAAATGTGTTGCTTTCAATTCATAAAAGCATTTGATCTTTTAGAAATAAGAACATTTGGAATAGGTCTATCATGATTCTGTTCCTTATTTTTCAGTCTGTAGCAATCCAAAATAACTTACCCTTTCTTCATGCGATAGGTGCAAGTAGGAACAGGTCAATCTTATCAGTTATTTAAGATCAGTCTTATCAGAAACTTGATTCTTTAAAAGTTGTGCCATACTGAGATTTGGAAGTGCTTAAATGAGAATGAAATGGTTTATTGCTCAGATAACTGCTGAGTACAAGATGTATTGACAAAAAAAAACTTTGTGAGTAAAGGAAAAATCGTGTGCTTTGCGAGCTGCATTTTCTAAAGTATCACCAAGGTCGGTTTTAACGACACTTAACGAGTCCAATGCTCTCTGGACAATTTCAAATTTTCAGCAATATCTTTATAATGAAAATATTTATCTTGTTCTTTATAAGAGTAAAAACCTAATATTTATGGTAACATCAAAAACTGAATTTTTGTGAGTGGGTGTGGGTGGGCGTTTTCCACTTATCAGTTCTAATTCTTTTATCGATACCGATATCCTCTATCTTCCTTTTATCTTTCTCTCTGAATCTTTATCTCATTTTCTTCATTTTTCTTTGCATCTGTATTTCCCTCTATTCCTTTTCTTTTTGTATCTGCATCTCTTTTTTTTTCCTCTGATGCTGAAACCTTCTGAACTCTATAATTATCTTTTATTCTTATTTCGATTCTCTTACTTTCATTTCATAGTAAGATGGAGCCTTTCTAATCAAACCAAAATCATTTTAATCCAAATTGTTCTTTTCTAATTTCAAATAAAGTGAACTAGGGGAATTTAAATTTCAATCTTAGCCAATTTCAAATATTCCGGACGAGACCCCAATTCTTTTATGTTACGTATCGGCTCGTTCAAAGTACTATAAAAGAAAGAGTGAAGACAACAAGCTTTGTAAATTTTGCCAAAAATATTTTATTTTCCTAGAAAACATGAAAAAATGTAATTATGTTAAACAAGACTTACAGTTTACATAAACGATCCAAAATGTTTGTTCAAAATAGAAACAAGTCCTGTAAAAAGTTTTAAACACAGTCTGAAGTGTCTGAAGATCCGGTCCAAAATGGCGGATGACCACGTCAGACGAAGGCTAACAGAAAATTCCAGAATTTACACAATAAAGCACGGTTTGTGTTGTCCCTTTCCAATTTAGAATATTTTCGAAAAAATGTCTTTGTCCAAATCAGTAATGTTGTTCTCCAGGAAAACAATTATTCAGAAGAAAGGAAATAAAATTAGCTCCTCTAACAAGACATGTCGTTCTACGTAGACATACGAACAGACAACTTCTAGCACAAAAATACATTTTTTAAGGTAATAGAAGTTGTATAACTGACTTTACGACTCTACGACTGTGTATGACTCGAATACGACTGTCTGATCGTGACTGTTGACTCTAAACGTCTTACAAAAATCTCAAACATATAAATGAAGCTAATACGGTGTTTGAATTGCACGCGCACGAGGACGCAGGCAATTGCGTTATATTTCTGGACATTAGGAAAGCCTGACCAAGTATCAGCCAATCGTTTTCATACCTATTCCTGAATGTTTACTTGTAATGAATTTGTTATCATATACAGCATGTGCTCAGATGAGTCACATTTACGACTCAAGTAAACACGATGTTTTCAACAACATATTAGACTGATATTTATTATAATCATATTAAAAATTACATTTAATGAAATAAATTGAAATAAAAAGATTTATACAAATTTCACTCCTTAGCACACACAATTAAACTACAGGGTCGGAACTATATATATATATATATATATATATATATATATATATATATATATATATATATATATATATATATATATATATATATATATATATATATATATATATATATATTTGTGTGTGTGTGTAAATCTACAACACAATAACAGAGCCTGGAATTATGACAGACTCTCTTCTCTAAAATATTCAAAGTTGTCAACGAGATGAGAAATTTCCAAGTGAAAAACTATATCCTAGGCCCAGACCCCACTCCCAAAAAAGTCTTTTCCTTCCGTATATAATGATCTGATTATTTGATTCACACTCATATATAAATGAGCTATGTATTACGTTGTTTACAAAATATATGTCCTTGGTCAGGTACACAGTAAACTACATTTTGTGCAAGGTCAAGTACGAAATACTAATGTATATAATATATAATCTTGTAGAAAGGTCAACAATACAAATTAAATATACATAACACCATGATGTTCTAGCTGAAACGGTCTTGGACTAAAGAAAAATTTTCTCTATAGTTTAACCGTTTTACCAAGTGTTGACTTTGCCGAAGTGGTTATTGTCATATTTGGTCAATATTGGTTGAGAATTGTAAATTAAATTATACGGAGTGAATAGTTTATGCCAAGATCTGCCGTCGCTAAAAAAAAAATGGCAGACCATGATAAACAATGTTAGCCTGACTTATTTCTTTAAACAAAATGGATATGACCTATCGACGCAATAGACATAGGTACATATGGGTGTACGCTTTCTGCTTTGCGGTAAGTGTAATATGAGTATAAATACCTGTCGAGATATTGGAATGGATTGGCCAATTTTCTTCTAAAGTACCGTATCTACTCGTATAAGTCCATTCCCGTAATAGCCTACAACCCAACATGACTAGGTACAAATAGGAAACATTGCATGACCCGCAGATTAGCCAACCCCTTTTTCAAGGCTTTATATTTTACCTGAATTCTTTGGCTTATATGCGAGCGTACAAGGAATTTTATTTTAAATATTGATTTAATATATTTAAAAATAGTCGTGTATCTTAAAATTATATTTCCTGAAATTACTCCAGGTTAACATTTGATAGGATTTATGTCACGTTAAGTATGAAGTCTATAAAAGCGCTTTTGATCGATTTCTACCTTACTCAAAATTCACTGCGAATATAAAAAAATTATGCGCATTCATGGCTTATAACACGTAAAGAAATCATCATACCGATCTGGATCTCCAAAATACACTGACAGATCAGAGTCAACGAAGAAGTCATCCTGGCATATCAAGGTGAATGCTGGTGTAGCTTGAAGTCACAATATACTGATAGATCAGGATCTGCGCTATTTGGTCTTGGACTAATATGCTTGCAGAATAATGTTTACCCTCTTTAGTTAGAAAATCATAGTGCCTGAACAGACCTGGGTCTGTTCTATTATCCCATGTTAACTACATGTTTACATTTATTCCGACGGTTATGTATTCTTAATTGTTTATATATCTATTATCTCATGTTAACTACATGTTTACATTTATTCCGACGGTTATGTATTCTTATTTGTTTATTTATCTATTATCCCATGTTAATTACATGTTTACATTTATTCCGAAGGTTATGTATTCGTAATTGTTTTTTCTTGTCTTGTACCTTTCTTCATATTTTTAGAGCTTGCCTTTAAACATACATCATATGATCAGTTATTTGCTGGACTATTGTTAAGTCCAACACACACAAACACACATACATACATACATACATACATACATACATACATACATACATACATACATACATACATACATACATACATACATACATACATACATACATACATACATACATACATACATACATACATACATACATACATACATACATACATACATACATACATACATACATACATACATAACAACGAATTGGTTAAACAATGGACTAGGTTATGCACATCGTTATGGGAAAGGAAGACAATTCTCATCGGTGTGGATTTATCTGTCACAATCAGTTCTTTCTTCTTCATCTGTGTTTCATGGCTATATAGTTCTGTCCCAAGGCTAGTCAAATAAACAAAGCAATGTTAAAAAGTAACTAGAGTGTCATTTTCTTAGATGGAATATAGATTTTTTCGACTCGTTATAAATTGCTAACAGATATTTGTACATTGAAATCTGTCAGAACCAGAAAAGTTATTAGAAAGGATCTGTCAAAGTTAAGATAAAAACCCTCAAAGTTTTAAATTCCATTTTACGTGATGTGGAATTTTTTGACAAACTAATGGCCTGTTATCCAAGCACTGTGCACATTTCTTGACTTCGCCTCTAACGCACTGCAATGAATTTGAACTCGTCAGAGAAAAGTTATATTAGGAATACATCTCAATGCATCCTAACATCATGGCATAAACAGAACTTCATTTTGTTCCAAATATGTCACATCACTTTATTAATTCGTATTACTATTTATTACCTCTAACACATAAGATTATATGATTATGACGTCCAAGATGTATATCAAGAAAATCTATGTTGGGGTTTGCACCGAAATAAGGAAATCCCAGTAACTCGTCATGTGTATTGTCTGTGTGTCTGGAATAGCGTTTACTGTTACAGTCTGTTCTATACAGCATCGCGAATTTTAGCCTATCTTTAGCTCAGTAAATTTTCAGGTCAGCGTCATTAAATCTAGTAAAAAGTCCCTAATTCGTTTCACGCAAAATACTTAAAATTAATTAGATACTTTTAGCAGCATTTGATGACGCTAAGCTGAAAATATACTAAATTACAGATAAAATTCGAACCTCTCCGGTGGCCTAGAGGTTAGAGCGTCCGTCTCAGATGCGGGAGGTCGTGGGTTCAATCACCGGTAGAGTCATACCAAAGACTTACAAAAATGGTACTAACAGCTGCCTCGCTTGGCGCTCAGCATTAAGAGGTTAGTGTTAGGACTGGTTGGCATGGTGTCAGGATAATGTGACTGGGTGGGACATTATGCTACATGTCTGCGACATGATGCTCCAGTGCTATACATCACTATAAACTGCCACACTGTATACATCGTAGCGATATGACCGAAAAATTGTTAAAGCTACGTTGAAAATCATAATCATACATCTTAGATTACTATAATCTATGTTGGAATTTTCGCCCAGGCAATGAAATCCCATTCTAGCTCATGGGCAGACCAATAATGTAACACCGCAACTGAAGTTTTCTTGTCTTGGTGCAAATACTGGCATGGACTTTTTTCTCACCCAATCTTTTCCAGATGAATTAAAATAACTCTGCATTTTTGCAATACAGTAACTACATTCAACAACATTTAGCTTTGATCAGTTACTGCCTCTCACTTTAAATATAGGTAATCAGCGCGTTTTACTCTTTCATGAAAATCCGAAGATATTTATCTAGGTTTATTCCGCTTTTAGAGAAAATATCAAGAAAAACTACGTGTTGGTAGCATTGAACATTGAGTGTCTGGAGCAACGTGCTATTGTTTTAAAAATACTTTACGTTAATACAAATATATTTAGGAGGACAATATTGGTGACCTGTCCAACATAAGTACACAAGTGAAAAACATGAGAAAATTTAAACAATTAACCATTTGATATTATTATTGTGTTATAAGATTTTTAATCGATGGATGTCGTGTGAAATAACAATAGCTAATACATCTTATACGGTTAACTTTAAACTTTCATCAGATCTGATGTGGAACTATTATATGGTAGACAACGGTATGATAAAATACAATACTGCGTACAGTTCTAACCAAGTGAGGAGATTTCTAATTCATGACTTTCTTGGAAATTTATATTTTCTGTCTTGAAAATACGACAGATTTTGCTATTACTCATTTAAGTATACGTCTACATGGAAACCTTGTGGAGTCGAGTGTTGAATGATGAATAAACCACCCGGATTGGTGAGTGCATGAATTTTTATTTGCAATCGTATTATTATGTTTGATTTAAATGGGATGGATTGGGGAATTTTGACAATGCTTGAAGAAACCAGTTTGGCATAACATATTTCTGATTGTTTCCGGCTTTGCAGTAGCTCCTAAGAGTTTTAATTACACACAAAAGATTTTCCTTTTAAAAGCAGTTACTTGAACACCATGACTGCGATGATCGGACTAGAACAACCAGACTCTGATAACAAAACTAAAGATTTCAAATCAGGTAGATTGCCGTTACAAATCTCGGCTCGTTCAAAGTAACAAAGAAAAGAGTGAAGCCAACAAGCTGTGTAAATTTCAACAAAAGTAATTTATTTCCCTACAAAACACAGTAAAGATATAAAAAGGACTTACATTTTGTGAATATAAGCCAAAAATTAAACACATAATTGAAACACACAAGTCCTATCACTAAAATGTCGTAAACAAATTCAAGTTAGAATCCCGGCGAAGTTCACAGATGGCTGACGATGACGTCAAATGAATGAAGTAGTCAAAAGTTTCACGTTGAATTTTATGAATCACAAAAGAATATTCCGGCTTTAGCACTCTGAATAATTTCTACTGAATGTCTCTGTTGAAAGCTTTGATGACGATAAGAAATAATTCCAAATTGGCACAGCATAAAACACTTCTGATTTATTGAAGGTATTTTTATGACTAAACTAGAAAACAGCAATACTGAGTATTTAACCCCACTAAAACGTCATTTCTACACTTATGACAGATCGCATGATCACTATACACAAGGCATAGGACGTTTGCCCAAATGTAGATGGCACAAGGTGATCACGTGACTAATATATGTATGACCTTGATATTGACCAATCATTTAAACTTCAAGTACCCAAGTGTCTGAACGAGGTCAGCTAAAACTAAAGCTAATGAAATACAAACAGAATATACGTTTAAAAAATTATATCGAATCCCGAGAAAATAATCTTTACACTAAAATGTAATGAAACAAAATTAAAAATAAAAAAGAATTTTATAACCAGCACACATGCAATTTAATTACATATTCGTAACAATTGCTGTGTCGCATGAGTGAAATACACACATTTAATGTCCAAGAGGTATATTACACACTTATCATGTCCAGTAAGTACATTATATGCTTATCACGTCTAACTCATGTATAGAATATATGTCAAGGTACGTATACAAGGGTAACACATTTCAAGTCGTGTCGCATTTGAATATGTGATGGTGAACGTAACTGGGGTGGATACGTCACTGAATGCCACTTCACCATTGAAGAATCCCGGAATGCTTTTTCTTCTGTTGCTGCAGTCGACGCTTCAGCGTTTTCACGTGCACATGCAATGATTCCAAGCTGGCCTCGAGTTGGCTGTGGTATGTCAGTATTCAAATGACAGTTTCTACTTGGCCTTAAAAATTTCATATAGCAGTTCATATGAGGGTTTGGTAATACAAAATTATTTTAGACATTCATCGACAAGTACAACAAAATTGCTATTGATGTTTAACATCTACTCCCAGTTAATCCAGCACTCCCGACTGTAAATCCCGCATCACAACGGTCAGCAGATTCCATTATGTAGATAATAATTATAAAATCTAATCTTAAACACAAATGCAAAAGACGGTTAAGTTTCCATCAGGATAAATATTGATTGCTTTGAAGTGAATTTCATCTGCGGCGACGAATGATGCGAACAATGCAACTGTGTAAATTTATCCATCGTTTTCTTTTGTGATACCTGATATTAGTGGTAACGCTTCAATGGCTGTAGCAGAAGCGAGACAACGTTTTTGTTCTTCCTCAGCACGAAGACGGCTTTGTCCATTCGAGTCTACTATGGCAAGGATGCCAGCTTTTCTTGCACCTCTGGGTATTCTGATATTGTAATACTTTAGATGTTTTACCATCGTGACCGTTGTTGCTATAGTGACAGTCGTTTGTGGTTGTAATAGTTGCAGATTCAGTGCAAAGATGGGTCTAAAAATTAATGTCTGCTTTTCTCAATCGACTTGGCATGTGCATACCATGCGAACTGCCTTAACTGTGGCAAAGTAGGCATGTTTATACTAAGGAGATGACGAAGCATCTTTCTAATTGAGAAATTTTGTCAAAGATTTATTTTATTTTGGTATTTTGCCTGGATATGAAAAGTAATCGCTAATTTTGGTTATTTCTTTTATTGTTGTATCTGCACGTGTTTGAGCTTGGGCAGCCCTAGGCATGCATTTTTAAATTTTTGCCTGTACTCATTAACAAATCCACAAACTCGCAACGTTGGTTGCGTGATTTGACTCCGACGCCACATTGGTCGTGTTCTTTATAACTTACGTAGTATTTGCTTGGAGTTTCTGCTTTCCAATGCCATGAAACTTTCTATTTGCATTTTCTGTGTGCTATTTTCCCACTCGTTCCCTCCATAACGAACACGAAGCTGTAAATCAATCCTTGCCAAATATTTGACCATGCCAATTTCAGAGTAACCACAGCAATTCCTTCTGCGGTATCGATTTAAAGATCTTTCTAAAACGGGTCTGCCTCAATCTGCGCATGATTCATCATCGAGTACGACAGCAACATAAATGTTGTTGTGCGACTATTGCATGTACCCAATTATAGCAAATCTCCCATAATGAACTTCATTCCCTTTGTGCCTGAACTTTCGTCTAGAAGGTTTATTTCATACTTCGCTGCTCCTTACTTGAAACGCGGTAATGTGCTGATTGAAATAAATTCAGTTGGAATGTCGTTCTTATACCTATGGCCCCAAAGGGTCTGTTTAATTAACCTCCTCTGAAGCATCTTCATCACTGACGTCATCAAAAATAGCAGACGAAGGGCGAATAAACATATTTCTTTTGAGTGGCAGCTTTTATGCATACCATTCAACAGTTTCTCTTTAGTTTTCTTCGCCTCAAAAATCTGTCCAAGTTTGTTTCGTTTTATTTTTAAAGTCGCTGCCAAATTTACCAACTTATCAATGGTGATTTAAGATTTTGCTGAAGATTCGTTCAGCACGTTTGTGTCTCCTTAATGAACTTGCATGATGCATTCAAACGATATAACGATCTCTGTTAGTCTGCCACGCATTTCAAATTCCATTGTCTTTGGAAGTAAAGTAGTACACAACCCTTTGTAACTTCTATAAATTCCTTCATTATACTTTGTGAATCAATATTTTCACTGCCACTCAATATATATATATATATATATATATATATATATATATATATATATATATATATATATATATATATATATATATATATATATATATCCTTGATACCCTATGAGGGCACAGACAGCCGTGCGAGACTCAAATCCCCCATGACTGGCTCACTAGCGTCACGTGTATGTTTGCACCACTAGTAACCCCTCAATGCCTAAAGAGTAAATAAGACTAGTGACACGTGAAAAACACTGAATTTAGTCTACATGACAAATGTGATTTATACAATTCGCATGACATATACATTTCCATTTTCTTTCAAAACTGCAACTCAAATTGTAGTTAAAAGACTGTACGACAAAATTAAAGCCTACTATCTGTGTCCTTTGTGAATATTTAATATGGTACCAATAATACATTCCAATCTAAATGACTGTAAGGTAACAATAATACAATACAACCTAAATGGCTATACGAAACAACAATAAAAACACAATTGTAATGTATATTTAATTTGTATTATTTGTTGGCTTTCCTTAATGATTATACGTTATATGCTTTTGCATTTTGTACTTGAATTTGTCCAGTGATATTTATTTTGTAAACAACAAATTAAGTTGTTAGAAATTTCTCTCAGATCGTGGATATTCAGATCTTTATATTTGGAGATAAAAATTAAAAATGCTCATTTGAAACTGAGTCTAGGCCATAGGTTTTTGCTTGGAAATTACTAAACTTGTAGACAACTTTAAATATTTT